CCAGCATTTCAAGCCTGCAATGATATCTGTGCACAATCATACCACTTAAGCGTGGTATGGAGACTGGCAGATCGCAAAGCAAAGTGATTTTATATATTCTTGTTTGTAATCGTTTTAGTACAGACACTTTTGCATTAGATAATGACATTGAAATCAGTTCAGAGAAAAAACAAGAAATTCAAGAAAAGACACCATTCAGAAGTCAGAAAAAAATAACATCAGAGGCGCTAGAGGTACAACTTTCACTTAATGAACTGGAGTTGGCCATTTTAAAGCTGAAAATGCGGAAGTCACCAGGAGCAGATGGTATATTAAACGAAATGATCAAAAACTTAGGAGCAGTGGCCAAAACAAAGCTTTTACAGATATTTAATGCTTGCTGGGCAACAGGAAATGTTCCACAGATCTGGAGAGAGGCAATTATGATATTCCTCAAAAAGCCTAGAAAAGATAGTTCCAATGCTTCCAACTACAGACCGATCAGCCTCACAAGTTGTCTCTGCAAAACAATGGAGCGTATCACCAACCTCAGACTACAATGGTACATTGAAAGTGAAAACATCATTACACCACAGCAGGCGGGCTTTAGTAAGTTCTACTCTACGGAAGACCAGACAACATACATCTCCCAAGAAATAGAAGATGCTTTTCAAGATAAGAAACTGGTACTCGCGGCATGGATAGATTTAAGGAAAGCTTTTGACAAGGTTTGGAAGGAGGGGCTTTTGAAGAAATTGAGAAACTATAAAGTAAATGGGAGAATGTACAATTGGATTAAAGCATATCTACATAACAGAAGAGCCCGGGTACAGGTAGATGGTTTTAAAAGTAAAAAAGTTCTACTGCGACAAGGTGTCCCTCAGGTGGTGTCCTGTCGCCCACACTTTTCCATCAACGACCTGGTTGCTGAAATACCAAATGGAATCAAAATGGCAATGTATGTTGACGACCTGGCAATGTGGTGTACCGATGAACATGCAACGATAGCCACAAGAACACTACAGCGGGCTACATACGCACTTGAGGCATGGGCGAATAGATGGTGTGTCAGCATCAATACAGACAAATGTAGCACCACTCTCTTCACTCTTTCCCTAAATCAAAAAGCTGGCATCATCAAAATAAACAGAATACCCCTAAGAGATGATAAAGAGCCCACGTACCTCGGAGTCACATTTGATGACAGGTTGACGTGTAGAAAACATATCAACAAGGCAGCAACCAAAGCCAGGAGGAAGACAGCCATACTAAGAAAACTAATTGGAACCACATGGGGAGCCAGTGGGAAAATAAAGTAAACAAGCAGAACATACAACCACACTAGGAATATGGGTCAACTGCATCTAGTACCACATTAAAGGAGTTGGACAAAGTGCAAAATCAAGCACTTATTAAAGGAGAGATGAAATTAACCCCCATATTAGAAATGGAGAAAGCTGGGAAAACACAGGCACTGAGAGAACGCAGAGATACAAAGTTGCAAATACAAGCTAAAAAGTTCCTCAGTATGCCAGATCACCCCATGAAAAATAGATTTCAGAAACTAGCCTTGGGACGGTTAACAAGAAGCAGCTTTATACATCATGCAAAAAGAATATGTAGACAAACTGCTGACCTTCCAGAAATTGGTTGTCCACTCAACAGTATTCCAGAACAAACCCCATGGAGAGAAAAACAGTAAAATACAGACAAATGTGAAAGGAATATTTGACAAGAAAGAACAAGATAGTGTACAACGCAAAATAGCCATCCTCGGTTATATTGATGAAGAATACCCAAAAGAACAATGGTTCCGAGTCTATACAGATGGGTCCGCAGAAAGTGCAGTAAGAAATGGTGGTGCTGGAATGTACATAGAATTCCCAGATGGTACTAGGCATAAGTCCAGCATACCAACCATAAAGTACTGCCATAACTATGATGCAGAAACTGCTAAATACCAATCTTGGCTCACAGTATGTGGTAATGCTGACAGATGCAAAATCAGTACTTGAAGCACTCCAGTCTAGGTAACTACCAGAATTGCAAACACTGCTGACACAACTTAGCCTTCAGCGAAGAGTTGTAATGCAGTGGATACCATCATATTGTGGAGTGCCTGGAAATGAAAAAGCTGATCAACCGGCAGGAAAAGGTGCGACAAAAGTGCAGCTGGATGTACCAGTCATATACCACCATAAAGAAAAGAATTAAATCAATCAGGAAACCACTAACCCCAACACAAGACGACTATTTTATTATGGACAGACAAGAACAATTCATTATCTTCCGCTTCAGAACAGGGCACAACCGATTACGTAACCACATGTACACAAAATTCAAGATAGGCGTATAAGCCATGTGCACCTGTGGAAATTTGCCCCAGACAGCAAAGCATGTACTCCAGGAGTGCACCGAATTTGACACATAAAGGCAAATCTTCTGGCAAGAAAAAACAACAGTGGCACGTAGACTCTTTACTGAATGAATTAACAACCGTGAAATTTATACAAGAGACAAAATTGCTGATATAGACAATTTATTTCAGGCAAACGAAAGAAGTCCGATTGTCACATGCTGATGAAGCCTTTTAAGCAGCAATGTCACTTGTGATTGTAGTGTTATGTGGGAAGCAGACCTACTTTTCAAATGAATTGATCTTTTTTTCAGATGAATTGATCTTTTTTTCAGAACCTTACAGGGTCACTAATCTTTTTTTCAGAACCTGACAGGGTCAATATCGCTAAAAAGGGAGGAGACATAAGCAGAAAACTAACCCTATGATCATCAGACTCTGCCTTAATTTCTAAAACTGCTCCCTTCATCATCAGGTGCCTTGCCGACTGGCGTGGGCGATCATGCCTCTCCACAATCTACGATCTCCTGCAGCGTGTATCAGTTCGTGTACCAACACACCTCCATGCCATGCAACAAAACTGTCAAGAATCTTCTCTAGTCTTCCTCTATCCCTCCTTCCACAGATCTTTCCAGTGGTCACATGTTCTATTTTCCCTCTTCTCATAACATAGCCGAAAAATTATGACTTTAACCTGTCTATAATAAGTTGTCTTCGGGCTCCTGCCTCTTTTAAAGCCTCTTGGTTGCTTTTTGTAGCAAGCAAGAATTCTCTTTCAAACTCTCAATGACAAGGATATATTGCACACGATCTTAATTTTATAAAATGCAGATCTCAGCTATGCGTCTTCTATCTGATGTTATCCATGTGCCCACACACTTACATTTCTGTACTTGTCCCAAAATAACACCATCGTTTATTACACATTAAGGAATAAATCGTTTCTTTGATACCACCATTACTTATGTCTTCCCATTATTCACACTGAGGCCCATTCTTCCACTTTCTAACACCACAATGTCTAATATTTCCTTCTGACTTGTAGCTTCCAAGACTGTCATCAGCATAACGCAAATTGTTTATATTGTGCCCACCAACAACTCCGGGCATATCAATTAAAGATCTCATTATATTGAAAACAAATCAGGTGACAGTACACATCCTTGTCGTACACCCCTCTTTATGCTTTGAAATGTACCTAACAGTTGTTAATTCTTAAAGCTGCTGTTTGCTGCCAATACATATTCTTTATTATTTGTAGATCTTTTCCATCAATGTTCAATTTTTCTAACAGTTGGATTACTTCTTCATGCTTCACAGTCAAATGCTTTTGTATAGTCTATGAAGCATAAGTGCAAATCATGCTTCACCACCATGCTCAACAGAGGGAGATCAAGTAGGATCTCAATGCTTTTTTCACTTCCTCTTTTACCGCTGTGGGTGTCGAGGGAGATATAAGGTTCTGTTTCTAGCCGCCTCGACCATAGGCACATCTTGCTGTTGTAGAGTTCCTCTGAGGTTATCCTTCCATCTTGTTCTTGGTCTACATCCTTCTCTTTCCATGTATGCTTTGTATGGTATGGTGTCACAAGGCATTCTCTCTTAAGTGGGCAAACCATTTCACTTGGTGTCTTCGTATGTAATCCAGAATTGGTTCTGTGCTGACTTTTTCTCTTATGATCTCATTCCTGATCTTATCTTTTATGGTCACTCCAGCCCTTCTCAGACATCTCATTTCCGTGGTTTGATCCACAGTATTCTAAAAATAATAATTTTGGTAGCTTATCAGTTCCATGGCTATTTTATTTTAAAGATCTAGTACAGGTCATGACTTACACAAGGTGACATTAGTAGTATTTAAGTTCCAAAGCTATTTTTCTTAAAAGAACAAGTACGAGGTCATGACTTACACAAGGTTGCATTGGTAGTGTTTCAGTTCTAAAGCTCCTGTTTTTCTTCAAAGATCAAGTACGATCATATGAAAGATTTTATAAGATATATCAACAGATACAGATTTCACACAAAGAAACTCGAATTCTGTATGCTTTATTTAATTAACAAGAAAACAAATAATGTTACCACTACAGTGAAATAAAAGTGACAATATTAATGTACTAACAGAAATGATTAATGGATACATACATACTATGTGGGTGAAAACATATCTGTGCATATGTACAGAAAAAAATTGCACAATATGTAGATTTTGAAAAAAAAAATAAGGGAAAAGACTGGCTTTACATAATATAAAGATACATAGACATACTTTTACAACATACTGATTAATCAACCTATGGCATTAGAGCAAACAAAAAAGCACATTACATGTGCCAACATTAAAACACAATCGCTCATAAGCTTGATCTCAATGCAGCAACACTAAATATTCACTTAAGTCTACCTTACATAAAATTCTTAAAAACCAAAATCTGTGCAACTTTTAAGAAAGATGAATCTATCTTGCAAACCCAAACAAGCTTGATGTCAATACACCGATACTAAATAAATAATGCCTACAGTAACTGCTACATTACCTGTTTAATACAGAACTATGCAAATCATGAGAGAAGTATCTCTTGCAAGCCCACACTATGACACGTGCTGGGTACTCATCTCCTGCCTGTAAAAAATGACAAAGACACAAAAAAACCATACACTGCACATTTCAATCATCATTTTTTCTGTCAACATCCGGATCTTCGTCATGGGATCTGGATGCAGAACGAGATCTAGAAGCAGACTTTTTATTCGGTGGGCTAACTGATCGGCTTCCAGATTTTGGTCGTTTGCTGTCGCTTGGAGATCTGCTGCGGCTCCTGCTTCTTGAGCGGCTGCCACTTTGAGATCTGCTGCTGCGTTTACTTCTGCTGCGTGAGCGGCTAGAAAAAAAAAAAGACAGAAAATATCAAAATGTTACTAAAGCGATCACAAACATAATAAACTGGCAGTGGAGAAAATACATGCAGCTATTAATTTCCCTCTCCAGAAATAATGTCCAAAATGTTTCAATATATTAAGTTAAAATTTAAAAAAAGTTTGAGATCATTCAGTCAGAATTTTTGAAACTAAAAATGGCATCATTTGAAATCAGCCTCAAAATATGCAACATTACTAACCCAACATGCATTTTACTGGAAACCTGACCGGGAATAGGAATTAGGTAGAAAATGGCTGTAAACAGGTTGGGTGCTTGAGAATCTGAGAAGCATGGTAAATACATGCTATAGCAATGGCCCTGAAACCCCATGCTCTAACTAAAAGAATTTTTCTCAACTCTTTCAGTACCAGGAGGTTTCACATGAAATGCCAAAAGAAAAGAAATAACTGTGGGGGTAAAACATGAATGTACTCCTTTCAGACAGGCAATTTAAATGGTGATAAATTGTCATTGAGGTTGCCAGAATTTTATAGTATGTTCTGACAAAAATATAAATTAAGAGAGCATATTATGTTATGAAGGAAAGCTAATGAGCCACCTACACGCCAAGCCTTGCTTGGGACTGAAAGAGTTAATGAGAGTGGATCTTGCTAGACACACTCACCATCGCCCTAGAGAATAATATAACACTATTGCCTGGAAAGATGGAAAGCGGACTACTACAAATGTTTAAAGAAAACAATGGGACAAGACCAGGGTCAGGATGGGGGGAGAAGAAAAGAATTACATGAAGCAACAAGCTCGATGTCAATATTATAAACTTACAATTTGCACTGCAAAAGGTAATCAGCCACCAAAATAAATCACTCCGCCCCTCACAGTCCAAGGGATCTTCACTGTGGCAGTAGAACACCACCAGTGTCAACCCAGTGACCAGGCAGGACGTCAGATGACACGCACGAGGTTTCATTTTACACAATTTGCAAACAAGCTATTTAACTTGTAGGGAAAACAAACACTGTTTCATATTTTATATTCTTCAATATTTAAAAGCCTACAGTTAATTTATATGAAAGCCAAGCCACTAACCTCACCAGCTAACAGCCATTTAACTAGGGAAATACACCAACACTGCTAAGAAATGTCACCCCCCCCCCCCCCCCCTTACCAATTAAAAAAAACCGACACTTTAAACTGTTTCTAAGAAATTAAAGTTAAGACAAAACACCACTGTTGTACACCACACATACTTTCTTACCCTTATAATACTTTTTCTTAGAAATGAAGTAAATTTCAGGGTTTTGATTTGTTTAAACAAGGAAATACACCAGGAAAGTCACACTACAAACAGGTAAATTGTTCAGCAAATACAGTTAACAAGAACCAACAGTGCATTAATAAATAAGTTACAACAATCACTTAGAATACTGGAAACTACCTACGGCATTCAGGAAACAGTGGCATCATTTAGGATCAGCCCCGAAAGATGGAACATCATTATGCCACTTTTGTGTACCACATAATAAACCTACATACTCAAAAAAATCTCAATTGATATGAAGTGTAAATTTAAAGTTTTTTTTTTAAGCTATAGGAGTTTCAAGGAAAGACTAAGAAATCATGAAATCAGACGGATGCTAGGAATACAGCAAGTCTTACAAGTTATCAAAGAACAACAAATGAAGTGGTTTGGACACCTAACAGGAATGCGCTGATACTATCTGCCACAGCAAGCCACACCAAAACGTTACAACAGATTTAGAGCAAGTATAGACTTCGGGAAATATGCAGTGATGGCATTAGGAACAGAAATAAACATCAAGTCTTAAAAGTGTTCTTGACAGAGCTCATTAACGAATGTTACATCTCACCCCGACACTTTGATAAGGTACAAGGTGGAAGAAATTTTTTTTAAAACAGACACAAGGGACTACAACAGTAAAGAAGCCATAACACAAATAGAGGTAGCTTGTTAAACAAATTTTAAAAGATATTTATGCAAGAACCCAAAGGGAAGTGCTAGTCATATTTCTTCATGCTGTCTGCAAAATGTTAAATTCCAAGTTTTCTTCTTAGATCCTTCTGTCAGAAAAGCTTAAACCAGGAGGCCAGTAGCCTTAATACAAGCTAGTATGCAGTCTAAATCTTCCCCATGTGCCATACAGCTTTGTTGTTATCGAGGGTGAAACTTGCCAGATGGCAAGCAGCATACAGGCTACAGTGCTAGACTACATGCTATGTATTTTCAGGTGCCAAGTTATAAGGACACATTTCTCTGTTTCAACTACTGAAAAAACTGAAACATATATTGGCAGAGCTATTATTCTGCCCTGTCTAACCATCCACTCCTGAGACACGATGAAGCCAAGTCTTGTGGTGAGCATTAAAGCCTAATCATCATATATTGTCAGGTTAACTGTTTCCAGGGCCAAATGTGGGGTAAAAAAGCCAGTAGCACAGCTGTGGCGTTCTACTTTTCCATAACAATGGTGTTCATTTTAAAGGCTTCAGCTGGCCTCAAAGCTGTCAACTAGTCAATCAAAAAAACGAAAAACAACCTACATTCTTATAAACACTGTTACAAAAGGTAATCAGCCACCAAAATAAATCACTCCGTCCCTCACCAGCCAAGGGATCTTCACTGTGGTCACAGAACACCACCACAGTGTTGACCCAATGGCCAGGCAGGACGTCAGATGACACGCATGAGGTTACATCATTTTACACTATTTGCAAATAGGCTCAAACGTGCACGTTTAACTTGTAGAGCAAACAGCAAATATTACACTTTATATCTTATAAATTCTCCAACAGTCATAAAGCTGTAGCCAGTTAATACCAAAGCCAACCCACTAAACCTCTAACTAGGGAAAAACACATGATTTACATGCAGCCCCACTCCCTCCCCTTATATAACACACAGGAAACTTGCTTCAAACCGTTCGGAAGAAACTAGTAAAGACAAAACATTCTTGCAATGATGAGTTACTTGTTATAACCATTGTGAGAATACTAGAAACTAGATGTGGCATTCAGGAAACAGTGGCATCATTTAATCAGCCCCGAAAGATGGAACATCATTACACCACTGTTGTACACCACACAACATACACTTTCTTACACTTTTATTATTTTTTAAAATCTTAGAAATTATTGGTAGTAGATTTCATGGTTTTGATTTGTTTAAACAAGGAAATGCAAGGAAGCCACACTATATATATATATATACACACAAGTAAACTGTTCAGCAAATTTTAAAAGTAATGTATACAAATACCCCCCCCCCCCCCAAAGGGGGGGGGGGGGGGGCTAGCTGTATTGCTTCGTGCTACCTAACAATTCATGTTATCTGCCACATATTTATCCAACAGTTTTCTTTGATCTTTCTGTCAGAAGACCTTATATCAGGAGGCCAGCAGCCCTAATGCAAGCTTTCCTGCAAGCAAAGTGTGCCATACAGCTTGTTGTTTTTACTGAGACTGGAATGGGCCAAATGGCTTGCCTCTCTGTTAGCAGCATACTGGCTACAGTGTTCGAGTACATGCTATGTATTTTCAGATGCCAAATTGCAAGGATACATTATCTTTCCGAAATATAAAAAGTTTTGGCAATGGTCTAAATTTTACCATGTCATTAGTCTTACAGTTCCCAGGAAACTACAGTTAAGAAAAAAGCAGCTATGCAACAATAATAAATTAGTTATTAGTCATTATGTAAAGGTATTGGAAACTGCATGTGGCATTCAGGAAATAGTGGCATCATTTAGGATCAGCCCCGAAAGATGGAACATCATTATGCAACTGTTGTGGACTGCACAACACCTCCTGACCCTTATAATAAATATAATCTTAAAAATGATTAAAGTGTAAATTTTAAGGGTGTCCTTTTTCAAACAGACAAAAGGGGATACACCAATTAGGACGATAAACTAAAAATACTGGGAAAGAAAATATTGTGCGCAAATCTATAAATGAATTTCAGTCTCTGGCAGGTCTCACTTAACTCAAGTCCTATGTATCTTTTACCTACAGTAAGTTGTTTAGACCCAGATGGGTTAAATTAGCTACACATAGGCTCCAAAAAAGTTAGTAAAGTGTGGGTTAACACAGTCAGGTTACTATAACAGCTACTTGGTAAGCAAAACGTATAGAAAAGGTATTCATGTAAAAAGCAACAAGTAAACATACAGTGAGATGACTGGGACTGAGTTAACATTAATAGTGCATCATTGAAAAGGTAATCAGCCACCAAAATAAATCACTCCGCCCCTCACCAGCCAAGGGATCTTCACCGTGGCAGTAGAACACCACCACAGTGTCAACCCAATGGCCAGACAGGACGTCAGATGACACGCATGAGGTTTCATCATTTTACACTATTTGCAAATAGGCTCAAATGTGCACGTTTAACCTATAGAGCAGCAAACAGCAAATATTCCACTTTATATCTTATAAATTCTCCAACAGTCATAAACCTGTAGCCAGTTAATATGAAAGCAACCCACTAACCACCAGACCTCTAACTAGGGAAAAACACATGGTTTACGTGTAGCCCCCCCCCCCCAAATAACAGACATGAAACTTGCTTCAACCCGTTCGTAGGAAACTAGTAAAGACAAAACATTCGTGCAATAATAAATAAGTTATTTGTTATAACCATTGTGAGAATACTAGTAGAAACTAGATGTGGCATTCAGGAAACAGTGGCATCATTTAGGATCAGCCCCGAAAGATGGAACATCATTACACCACTGTTGTACACCACACAACATACTTTCTTACCCTTTTATTATTTTAAAATATTTTATAATAAATTACTGAAAATAAATTTCAGGGTTTTGGTTTGTTTAAACAAGGAAATACAACAATAAGAAAGCCACACTATATATATTATTCAGGTAAACTGTTCAGCAAATTTTAAAAGCAATCTATACAAATATCCAAAAGGGGGAGAAAAGGAGAAGGGGGGGGGGGGGGGGGGGGGGGGGGGGGCGCGTGCTAGTTGTATTGCTTCGTGCTACATAACAATTCATGTTATCTGCCACATATTTATCCAACAGTTTTCTTTGATCTTTCTGTCAGAAGGCCAGCAGCCCTAATGCAAGCTTTCCTGCAAGCAAAGTGTGCCATACAGCTTGTGTTTTTTTTTGAGACTGGAATGGACCAAATGTCTTGCCTCTCTGTTAGCAGCATACTGGCTACAGTGTTAGAGTACATGCTATGTATTTTCAGGTGCCAAATTGCAAGGATACATTTTCGTGTTTCCGAAATATATATATTTAAAAAAAACGTTGGCAAAGGTCTAAATTTTGCCCTGTCATTATAGCCTTACCGTTCCTAGGAAACTACAGTTAAGAAAAAGCAGCTATGCAACAATAATAAATTAGTTATTATAATCATTATCTGAGGGTATTGGAAACTGCATGTGGCCTTCAGGAAATAGTGGCATCATTTAGGATCAGCCCCGAAAGATGGAACATCATTATGCAACTGTTGTGGACTGCACAACACCTCCTGACCCTTATAATAAATAATCTTAAAAATGAAATAAAGTGTAAATTTTATGGGTGGCTTTTTTAACAGACAAAAGGAAATACACCAATTAAGACGATACACTAAAAATACAGGAAAAGAAAATATTCTCTGCAATTCTATAAATGAATTTCAGCATCTGACAGGTCTCAATTCAAGTCCTTTGTATCTTTTACCTATAGTAATTTGTTTATACCCAGATGGGTTAAATTAGCTACACCTAGGCTCCAAAAAAATATTAAAGTAAAATGTGGGTTATCAGTCAGGTTACTATAACAGCTACCTGGTAAACAAAATGTTTACAAAAGATATTCATGTAAAAAGCAACAAGTAAACGCACAGTGAGATGACATTAATAGTGCATCATTGAAAAGGTAATCAGCCACCAAAATAAATCACTCCGCCCCTCACCAGCCAAGGGATCTTCACCGTGGCAGTAGAACACCACCACAGTGTCAACCCAATGGCCAGACAGGACGTCAGATGACACGCATGAGGTTACATCATTTTACACTATTTGCAAATAGGCTCAAACGTGCACGTTTAACTTGCAGAGCAAACAGCAAATATTACACTTTATATCTTATAAATTCTCCAACAGTCATAAACCTGTAGCCAGTTAATACCAAAGCCAACCCACCAACCCTCTAACTAGGGAAAAACACATGATTTACGTGCAGCCCCACCCTCTCCCCTTATATAACACACAGGAAACTTGCTTCTAACCGTTCGGAAGAAACTAGTAAAGACAAAACATTCTTGCAATAATGAGTTTATCGTTATAACCATTGTGAGAATACTAGAAACTAGATGTGGCATTCAGGAAACAGTGGCATCATTTAAAATCAGCCCCGAAAGATGGAACATCATTACACCACTGTTGTACACCACACAACATACTTTCTTACACTTTTATTATTTTTTAAAATCTTAGAAATTATTGGTAGTAGATTTCATGGTTTTGATTTGTTTAAACAAGGAAATGCAAGGAAGCCACACTATATATATATATACACACACACAAGTAAACTGTTCAGCAAATTTTAAAAGTAATGTATACAAATACCCCCCCCCCCCCCTCCCCAAAAAGGGGGGTGGGGCTAGCTGTATTGCTTCGTGCTACCTAACAATTCATGTTATCTGCCACATATTTATCCAACAGTTTTCTTTGATCTTTCTGTCAGAAGACCTTATATCAGGAGGCCAGCAGCCCTAATGCAAGCTTTCCTGCAAGCAAAGTGTGCCATACAGCTTGTTTTTACTGAGACTGGAATGGGCCAAATGGCTTGCCTCTCTGTTAGCAGCATACTGGCTACAGTGTTCGAGTAATTGCTATGTATTTTCAGATGCCAAATTGCAAGGATACATTATCGTTTTTCCTAAATTTAAAAAGTTTTGGCAATGGTCTAAATTTTACCATGTCATTAGTCTAACAGTTCCCAGGAAACTACAGTTAAGAAAAAAGCAGCTATGCAACAATAATAAATTAGTTATTAGTCATTATGTAAAGGTATTGGAAACTGCATGTGGCATTCAGGAAATAGTGGCATCATTTAGGATCAGCCCCGAAAGATGGAACATCATTATGCAACTGTTGTGGACTGCACAACACCTCCTGACCATATAATAAATATAATCTTAAAAATGATATAAAGTGTAAATTTTAAGGGTGGCTTTTTTTAACAGACAAAAGGGAATACACCAATTAGGACGATAAACTAAAAATACTGGGAAAGAAAATATTCTCCGCAATTCTATAAATGAATTTCAGTCTCTGGCAGGTCTCACTTAACTCAAGTCCTATGTATCTTTTACCTACAGTAAGTTGTTTAGACCCAGATGGGTTAAATTAGCTACACATAGGCTCCAAAAAAGTTAGTAAAGTGTGGGTTAACACAGTCAGGTTACTATAACAGCTACTTGGTAAGCAAAACGTATAGAAAAGGTATTCATGTAAAAAGCAACAAGTAAACATACAGTGAGATGACTGGGACTGAGTTAACATTAATAGTGCATCATTGAAAAGGTAATCAGCCACCAAAATAAATCACTCCGCCCCTCACCAGCCAAGGGATCTTCACCGTGGCAGTAGAACACCACCACAGTGTCAACCCAATGGCCAGACAGGACGTCAGATGACACGCATGAGGTTTCATCATTTTACACTATTTGCAAATAGGCTCAAATGTGCACGTTTAACCTATAGAGCAAACAGCAAATATTCCACTTTATATTTAATAAATTCTCCAACAGTCATAAACCTGTAGCCAGTTAATATGAAAGCCAACCTACCAACCACCAGACCTCTAACTAGGGAAAAACACGTGCAAACCCCCCCCCCCCCCCCCCCCTAAATAACAGACATGAAACTTGCTTCAACCCGTTCGGAAGAAACTAGTTAAGACAAAACATTTATGCAATAACTGCCCTGACAAGCCAAGGAGTCTTCACTGTGGCAGCAGAACACAACCGTGTCGATTCAATGACCAGGCAGGACCATCAGATGACACGCATGAGGTTTCATCATTTTACACCATTTGCACACGTAATAAAAGTAAATGAAGTATACTAAACTAAGGGGAGAAACATGCAGAAAAAAATATGCAACATTTTAACTAACGCTAATGCTGTGCTGCAAATGGCAATCAAATTAAACTACAAGCCAAGGGATCTTCACAAATTGAAAGCTTAACCTGTTTGGTAAATAAACTGCATCTTGTATCTCAAAACATCGTAAGCCTATATTTAATATACAAGGCAACCCACATGTACCAGCAAGCAGGCTATCAGCTTCCCATGTGGGTTCCAAATCTACCTTAGGGGGTGGAATACGCCAACCGCTCCTCAAACAATCATATTGCGAAAAGCAACTAATTGGGGTTTTGCTGAAATCAGAGATGTTATGTTAAAAGGCGCAGATGTCACAGCCCGGCTACACTGCAATACAATTTGTCAACCATCCTTAAAAGAGTGAATGCAGAAGAATGATCAAAACTAGATAAGTGCTGATAGAGATGATTTCCTAAAGCATTACAGCACTGACTGACATAAACAAGTATATAATACATACCTGCGGCGTCTAGGTTTGTCCTCAACCAATCGGATCTTGCGACCATTAATCTCGGTCCCGTCCAATTTCTCTATTGCATTTCGCATGTCAGAAGATGACGCAAACTCAATGACACTGTAGGAAACCATATTTACATAATTACTGACAAATGAAAATAACGTAAAAGTGTAGGGTTCTTTTTTACACCTACAGGCGTAATGGGCACACAGTGCTAGAGCTATATTTTGAATAGACCAATCACCACTTTGTAGCTGATGTGGTCAGCATCACAGCGGCCACCTTTACTTCCCATGACTGCACCTGGTACCCACAGACATTTAGAAAAAAAAAAAGGGTTTTCACTAGAACCTGAACAAACAACTTTCTGATCAGCAGGCGAGTCTAGCTGTTTCATCACACCCAAACCCCCTCTCCCACTAATGCAAATAGGTTGTAAAAAAAAAACTAAAGATTCATGTCACAACCCAAACCCCACCAAAAAACTGACCAATTTCAGCACATGTCAACATAAAAAGTAGCTGACACTCGTTACAGAGTGATGTGCGGTCAAAAGGCTATGGCTAGTGATTGTCCCAGAAGTTACATCGAATGATTCAAAGAAATGAGCCAGAAATTTATGTTAGAAGCATTGACACCTTTTGCTCGTCCCTGCCGGTGGTTTTAAGGTGAGGCTATAATCCACTATGATGACTGTTAGGATGCATGTACTACACCGATTCATAAAGCCAAATGAATGCTAACTGGCCAGACCTGGGACCAATGTAGGCAGTAAAGGTCCTATGTGAGTTACAGGGCCCCATTTTGGGCAGAGACAAACAGACCCCATGCCATATGCATAAGAGTGTCAGTGATGGCCAAAAGGTTCACATATCACAGCCTAGCTGTAAAACCTATTAAAATGTGCTAACCATCCTGTCTTGGGAGAACAAAAAGAAACTATATATGCAGTCCAATAGCACATATTGTTTCTTCTTCTTCTTTTCCTTCTCTTCCATCCTGACCCTCAGTGAAAAGTCAGGGGGGAGATGTAACGTTGGCGGATGAACTCTGTCAAGAGCGCTATTAAGATTAATGTACATTTGCATAAAGCTGTTCTTTATGCCATCACTCCATCTTTCCCAAGGTCTTTCCCTCAAAACTTTCAGTGTGGCTCGCTGTGGGAGATAGTACTAGGGCATTCTTGTTAGGCTTTATTCCTAGCATTCTAATGATTTCGTATTCTGTCTTTCTCCTGCAACTCTTCTAAGGCATTTCATCTCTGTTATCACAATTCTATGTTCATTAGAGGATGTAAGTGTCCACATCTGGATCTGATAACATACTGTTAGCCAAAAAATAGTTCTGATAAGGTTCACTTTAGCACTCCGGGGCATCTGCTTGCATGTCAACGGTAAATAGTTGCCCCATTACTTGATTTGCTTTGGTACATCTCTGTCCGTTTTTCCATCAGATGTGAAAAGTGCTCCCAAATACTTGAATTCCTGTTTGTCTTAGGGCTGTTTTTAACCAGTTTCTAGAAAACGTACCCGCTAGGAGGTTGGGTATCCAGTTTCTCCTCTTCTGTTTATCCCCTACAAATTTCTAGAAAACTGTCTGGTGCCCCCTATATTAGGTTGGGTGAGTCCCAGTGCCAACTCCGCTTTTTTTAACTTCAAAAATGAAATAAAATATAATTTCTGAAATAAGTATATAAGCATAAGGCAGTTTACCTCCAACGCTTCTGGACAAATGGGAGAAGCCCGGCCCAGTCTAAGAAGCTCTACAGTCATCATTAGAGTCACAGGCTTGCCAGAGGTCATCTTTGGACATCACCCAGATTTCTGGTACCCTCTTCAATTACCATCACTCAAAATCTTCTACCAACATCACTTGGTGGGAGGGACCCTCAGTATAGCATCTTCAGGAAGACAGCTGGTGCCATTGACATCGTATGCTGTCCTGACATCAAACCAGAACTCCTCACCCTTTCTTGCGGCTTGCGAGACACTTAACCAAAGACCCTCTGGCGAGACACCTGATTGGAAGCAACTGTGGTCAGACCCCCTGACCACAGGATCGGATCAAGCCAGACCCGGCCGAGACAGGCTAGAGGTTATGAGCACCATATGCCCAGACTGCCGGTTAGTTAGAGCAGAGTCATCCCCTCAGTCAGAGACCCATCTTCACATAAGGAGAGCAATTAAAGCCAATCATCAAAGTGCCTTCGCTTTCATCCCATCTCTGAAGAGGAAGCTTATGAGGAATGAGAATAATAATTCTTTATTTGAAGAAATGGAATATTCTCTACAACATGTAACAAGCAAATTCTCAAGGTACAAAGTGATACCCATTTGCCCTCATTAACTGAATCAACATAAATGATACTTTACATAAAACCAACATTTGATATAACAAAATAATAAAACAATTTAAAGTGCTTATTAATTATATTAAACTTGTACAGTGCAGACCGCTTAAGATGATCTCGGATGTGACTGACAAATTTCTGCTGTTGTACAAAAAATTGTCTATAACCTGACAATGTTTCTTCTTGTCGGGTTAAAAACAATCCATTTATCACAAAATTTTTCAGATGCGTTGAACAATTCAACATTTTCTAAGTATATAATCTGACCTACTTAAGACAAACTTGGAGGGTTAAAATACCTGCACATTTGTATAATTTTTTCCCCGTCTATTTTGGGAATCTGTGCTCTGTGTTTGTATTGGAATTTGAGCATATCCCTGACACACACACAAGCAGGGAATTAAAAATCTTTAAAGAAGGAAAGACTGAGCTATTAAAAGAAGTGGGTGAAAAAAGCAAAAAAAACAAAGACACTGAAATTCAAGAATCAATGCTTCCTAGAATAAAAAGAATTAGTGTAGATAGCTTTGTTACTCTCTAAAAATCTGAGCTAACTTTGAACATTACCACTTTGGGCGATTCAAATAATTTTGTTGAATACATCTGTCATTATTAACGCTAATTCATTGTTTTATTGTACACTGTAAATGTAATACCATATGCATAACTCTTAAAAGAACTATTTCTTGGGTCGCTGGTGAGTTCTCCTTATCAGGTCTGCACTGTATTACTACTCTATTATGCACAATCAGACCTCATACACAAATAGACATCACCCACCTGCCAGCTAACTCGGGATGACAAATTTTCAACAATCAGTCTGTGGTCCGTTCTTGTGGGCGGCCCATACCTTAAAATGTAAATGGTAATAACAAGATTACATTTTTCCTACATTACACTTTTCCTAACAAAAAACATACAACCCAGTTTTTAAAAAAAAAAGGCTTCATATTCATGACAGTTTAAGCAAACCATAATAGAATGCCCCTGACCAAAGCAGGAAATTATATGCAAATACATAGCATATTTACGGAAACCCTAGCTTAGATAGCAGGAAATGCCCCCATTCTTTCCTGCCTGCAACTGTTCTAGGTGCACCCATTGGAACAAACAAGGACAAAGATGGCATGCATTGTCCCAGGAAACCAGCCAGGAAGACTAACTGGAAAAGCAGATGTCTGAAGAAGACAGATGTGTTGGCCAAAAGGCACAAATGTTGCAGCTGGGTAAAAATAACACAAAAGAAGCACAGTGCAATTACGTCCTCAGGGGAACGAATAAGACAAGAAATAACCACACAAGGGTAACTATCTACATAATATGCCATGGAAACAAACAAAGGTAGCTGCGTGACAACAACAATCCTCATATACATTACATCATACAGTGAAACAACAACAAAACTGACCCCAAAACAACACACACAAAAACAATGACACATATCAAAGTAGACAAGTGGCAAAGAAAAATGTTGAGCTAACAGTATGGCAAACAAACCTGAAAATTCAGTAAAGATTTTGGGAAAATAAAAAAAAGTAAATATACATGTTAATGGTGTATTGCAAAAGGTAATCAGCTACCAAAATAGATCACTCTGCCCTCATCGGCCAAGGGATATTCACTGTGGCAGAAAAACTCAACCACAGTGTCAACCCAATGACCAAGCAAGACGTCAGATGACACGCATGAGGTTTCATCATTTTACACCGTTTGCACACAAACTCAGCATCTGTGTTTATAGTGTGGTAGTAGCAGTGTGTGTGTGTGTGTGTGTGTGTAGAAGACAGGGAAGAGAGAGACTGAGGGTGTGAGGGAAAATTAAGGGACACATACCTACTCTGATATCTGCTGAGAAAATGGACAATGGGGATGAAAATAGCTTATGGCATATCTTATACGAAACAATGTTATGCTGAAAGGTAATAAACATACCTAAGATTATTTTTGTAAAGTAAAAATAAGCATTGTTGGACGACAAAAAGGTAATCAGCCACCAAAATTAATCACTCCGTCCTCACAAGCCAAGGGATCTTCACTGTGGTCGCAGAACACCACCACAGTGTTGACCCAATGGCCAGGCAGGACGTCAGATGACACGCATGAGGTTTCATCATTTTACACAATTCGCAAACAAAAAGTATACAAATATCAGAAATGTCTGGGTGCTTTATATAAACTGAAAGTGACATGAAAAGTACAGAAACTAGCAAAAGAAAGTCAGGTAATTCCCAAGGTGCAAGTAACCATTTTATTGTGTCATCACACTAAAATCTGGTTATCAACACCATCGCACAAGAACATAAAAATGTTGAGCAAACAATGGTGCATAAAGTAAAGATAGCAAAAAATAAAAAAGAAGACAAGACAAGAAAAAAAAACTAGAAGACTATCAATGATAGAACACATTCAACATGGACTATATATTGTACACCATTAAACTGTTGAGCAAACAATGATCCATGAAGTAAAGATAGCGGGAAGGAAAAGCAGAGACCAATAAATAAATGTTTCACTATTTTAAAAAACCTGCCACTTCAGCGCATGCTGTCAAAACAAAAATGCTAATGTTTAAATGCAAAAAGTAATTAGATACTAACAGAAATCACTTCGCCCTCATAGGCCAAGGGATCTTCACCGTGGCTGCAGAACACAACCACACTGTCAACCCAGTGACAAGGCAGGACATAAGATGACACGCACAAGGTTTCATCACTTTACATCATTGGCACACTAATCAGATGCTTAGCTTGGGGGAAGGGACAATTAAAGCTGAAATCTCAAAACCACCTTGAGTATGGATAGTACTAACACAACCCACCAACAGAAAGTAAGTAACCTCCCCACCAGCTTCCAGACTTAGTAAAACTGTTTACTGGCCACAAGCATGCCAAGTCGCAACATTCACACAGCTTTTGTTGAGCATGTTACAAAAAAAAAAAAAACTGCTTTAGCAACTTACTTATCACGCCTACCCCCACCACTTCCACCGCTGCTGCCACCTCGGCGACCTCTAAAGCTACGGTTACGGAAGGAGTCATCGCTGCGGGGCCCTCGGGCATGCTCAACACTGACCCTGAAAATATGCAAAGAAGATGTTTTAAAATAAGACAGCAAAAATATAAACACTGATGAACGGTTTAATAACCTAATTTGTTATGCTAAATTAGTATGTGGTTTGCTATCTCCTCTACACATTTTCAGACATCCCCGACCAAAATATATTTGAAGAAAGCAGAAGTCATCTTCAGATTGTTGATGCCTACATAGTCTGTCCTCAAACGATTGTGTAGGTTGACAAACTGTCCATTATTTATGTCATAATCCCCATGTGAGTTTTACAGTCCCATCGGGGGGGGGGGGGGGGGGGGGGGGGGGAATAAATAGACCAAATACAGACAACAAGCATGCTGCATAAAATTTTTTTTAATAGAATGTCAACTTTCAAAGTCAGTGTATGTGGTGCCTGAGAGGCAAGGAACTAACAGTCCGCATAGACTAAAGTCCACGAGTGGAGGAATAACCATGTGGGATGCTTAACCACACACTTCTGTAGCGTTTGATTTACAACTTAATTCCTGCACATCAATTTCTGAAATGTTTAGAGAACTCACTGTTTGTTATTTCAAAATGGGCAAGCATAAGCTTCGCTGCAAGTCATTTGATTGCTTTTGTATTTTTATTTTTTTTGAACTGATATTAAAATTGAATTTGCCCTTATAAAGCAGTTGGTACATTGTTTGGTGGTTAACAGCAAGACTGTGATATTGGCACCTCTCAGCCTAACACACTTGATTTAACAAACTCATAATTAATCAACTTTCATGACATGATTGTAAGAGGGGCACTGGATCTATTCTCCCCCCTCCGGGGCCCTGGAACCCAAAAACAATTATTATTGTCGTCAAAACCATCAGCATTTTTCTCTACAGCTAGATTTCTGTACATTCTATGAAAAAAAGCTATGAAAAACACAAAAGGTACTGACATTGCTGTAGATATAAGACACATTACAATTTCAAACAATTTACAATTTAAAAGTTTTTCAGATGCAATATGGGTGGAAAACCATACATATATAACTGATTCTCGAAAGGGATTTAATATGTTTAAAGGTGTTCAAATCTATCTATCTCTTCACTTTGTGGTTCACAAATGACCTCCACTGCTGCTAGTCTGCACATGGTATTCTAACTCCATTCCCCTTTCTTTTATTCTTCTCCAGATAGTATTATCCTTGCCAAAGCGTCATGAAATACCACGCAGCAAACATATCCACAGAATTACTGGAAGGGACCAAAGTTATGTTAACCAAAAAAAAAAAAAAACATACAAAGAAGCATCTGCTTTAATATTACAACATAATAACTAAAATTCACCTTTCCCCACATAGTTCCTTGCCATTGAGTTCATATACTGCATCATCTGCATCTCTGTAGTCATCAAATTCCTGACAAGCAATTCAAAGATACAAAATAATAGGATACTATTTTAATTCTGAGTACAGTGTGTGCCACTATTCTTGTCATGCCACTTACTTGTTACACAGAAAAGCTGACGTTTGTAGCATCAAAAGACAACATTTCTAAATTGGTCTTTTGTATGAATATGTCTGCCCCATGAAGTGTCCACTTCACTAGACCAAATGGTTTGACCAAAATACTTTCACCCCCTAGAAACCATAAATCTGGCAATGGTTCAAATCCCATAAAGGCCGCATTTCTAGAATGGAATGTTTATGAGACATCTTAGTTAACAACACTGGTTATGTTTGTGCCGGGACAATACGTAGGAGGTGAGAATATTTTTGCTAAAAATAGAATTTAGTTGGGGGGGGGGGGCGCCGCCGCAGAAAATGGGCCTTGTTAAAATAGTTTTTCTGACTCTAGTCTGCCCACGACCTTACTGTTAGAATTTAATGTTATGGACTAGTCACCTGAGTATTTATATTTTTTTTACTTTAAGGACCCCCCTGAATTCACAAGTACAATGTTTTTTTCTTCAAAAAGCGTGTATGGGGGTGAGATATCTTTGGTCTAAATTATAGATAAACAAAAATATCACAAAGTTTTAGGAAAGGTTATATTAAAATATTGTTTGGATAAGCTTTGGTGAGAAACTCAAAAACATACTTACAACAAAGCCATAACCATTTTTCAACATGATATCCCGTATTTTACCATAGGATCTGAAGAACTTCTCAACATCCTTTTCTCTAGCATGATTAGACAAGCGGCCTATGTAGATTCTAGTGCCCATTCTGCAGAACATAAAAAAAAAACACAAGTTAACTACTATTTATTTTTAGTAATCTGGTTACGTTTAAAAATGAATGATATAATTATGTTAGAAAGCAATAATGGTGCCTTAGTAATTCAAGTATCCACTGTTATGACATAACAAGGCATAAAAATAGGATGAGCTTAGAACTTATATAAGTAAGATATGCAACTAACTTAACCATAAGTATCCTAAGCGTAGCTTGACAATTTAGTTGCAAATCCATTATGATTATAATATGACTATTCAATGAAGTTCACTTAGGGGCCACAATTTTGAAAATGAGGATCGTCACAGGCCGAAGCCCAAGAAAAGAAAGATTATTAACAAAAAACAAGTGGCAATAATCTGCAGGCTGTCATAGAATGTTACAAATCAACCTCCAGCACTTTTTCCACTGTTAGTAATTTTATTAGATCATTTTACATCAAGCAGTAAAGCCAGACATAGTATTTGTATATATATATATATATATATATATATATATATATATATATATATATCCACCTATTGAGCTTCACTATATCTCTTCTTGCCATCATTAGGTTTTTTGCCTTCAGCTTCCCTCCCACTCACATTTACTCTATATTTAAACTATCTTGCACCACGATTAAAATCTAGTCAATCTTTTCTGTCATCAACCTATCAAGTGGTCGAGTAGTTAAGAGCAGCAGATTTTTATTGTTGACCGGGTCTGAAAAGTCCCCAAACAATGTAAAAATTCGGCTCTCCCCCGAACTTCTACCCCGCATTATAACGGCCAGAAAATATCCTTACGGGGCTCAGGCATATGTGAAATGCTGACTTTCTGTCAAGGAACAAATCGCTGCAAAACTATGATTACTTGACAATTTCAAGAGACGCAACATTGCAGACGATAGTAGCAGACAATAAAAGCGACCGTTGACAATTTTGAGCGTTTCTGCGGGCGATAATAGCCACCATTGACAATTTTTAGACATTACAGACGATGGAAGCGATATGGCGGGTAGACCACGCGCTCCCATGCAGATTAGCAATACTGTTCTTCCGATTGAGGATTTAGCAGCAGTAGATGTCAAACTTTTCGGAAGCGCAAGGGATTAAACTCACCGCCTAGGGCATCCCACGAGCCGCGCATAGCGGCGCGGAGGGCTAAACTAGGTGCCTGGGACTCACGAGCAAATTAATTAGAGAAAGTTTGCAGGAGATGCGGTAGCTGCTGCTCGTGAGTCCCTAGTTTAGCCCCTATCCGCGTGTAGCGAAGATACGGTTGGCAGTGAGGCAAGTAACATAGTGCTGAGACCCTGTTAGAGCATTTGTTTCTTTATACAGAGCCGGCATATTTTTTATAGAACTGAGCCCGTAAGGATATTTTATGGCTGCCATAGTAAGGGGGTAGGTAGAAGTTCGGAGGAGAGGCTATATCCTTTCCTGAATAATTCCACTCATGAGCCACACAGCTATAATGATTATAATAATCCTTGAGCTTAAGACTTCCCGCCCCTACAACTGGGCAAAATAAGGGCATTAAGGACAGCATGTGAAGAATTTCACACCAATCCATTCTTGCTGATGTCTTAAGTAGCAACCTTGGTTTTGTTTTTTCCCTTAGAGCACTAATGGTAGTGTCAACTCTTCATCATCATCACTGACTAAACTATAATCATCGCATGATAATGCGTCTTAGTACCTTACTAGTTCCATAAACTACAAACGTTTTTAACTTTTATATTTTCAGCAGGCAGTATTTTAAGAAAATGAAAAGGCCCATTACATGGAGACACAATACTGTAACATTAACCTTGCTAAAATTCTCTTGATAATAATATAATCATGAAGTACTGTACTAGAAATTAAATGGAGGTGGTTCCATTTGATTTTAGTAATCATGACGCCGACACTCGACACGAACGAGATCCCTCCATCCCGAACAAAGCAGAATTTGTCAAGAATGAACTTTACTATCCTTTTAAATTGTTTATATGATAATAAAGCTATAAGTTAACTAAATATATGAGCTATAATAACTGTAGCTTAACACTTATTTTAAATAAAGAGTAATTATTTGCATGCTCTGCCTGCACATATTCACCTGTCTCACTTGTGGACTGCAAAGCAAATTTAGCGTGCTCAAGATGGCCGTTTAGTAGAACCTAAATTGGCCAGATGTTTTATAAAATGAAGTTGAAAGTGTGAAATTCAAGAAAAAGTTACATTCAATTTATGAGTTGTAAATTTAAAAATATTTTTACTATTTTGTTATCCTTAGCTATTACGAAGCTAGATATACACATACAATTTATAGGTCCTTCAGATGTGTTTATTACTGGCTGTATTTTGATTTTTTTGGTCTGACTTCCTCTTACTCTCAGTAGTAGTAATATTTTTAACACAAAAATACACCCGCGTATGTATACTCAGTGATTCAATGAGTATGATCCGGAGGGTTCAGGAAGGTTCGGTGCGAAGACAATGGCTTGAATCATTAAAGAAGTCCAATGTGCGTGGAGTCACCATTATTTTTGTTCCGGGACACGCAGGCGTCGATGGAAATGAAAGAGCTGACAGGTTGGCTGGATCCGCTATCTCACCAACGGTCAGCCTATGGATCATGCTGACATTATTAATGCCCTCGGAGAAATGTGAAGGATAGAGGACTTTGGTGGCAGTGAATCCACATCACTCGCCAGATTGGCAGACTTGGGAATTAAGATAGGTATAGCAAAAAACGAGACGCACACCAGACACGTCAGAAGACTTGTTAATCAACATAGGAATGGTACTATTAGCCATCGGACGTTGGGGTTCATACTGAGGGGAGGATCTGGGCACCTATGGACATGTCCGGAGTGTAATGATGATAACCCAACCAACTAACTAACTAAGTAGTAATTTTAAAAATATGTATCCTCTTCAAACTTTTTGGAGGTACTTTATTAATATCCTACCCCAAACAGGGAAAATCCACAGGCCACGGGACAGTATAATATTTCAGGGGTGGTAGATAGGCTGCATGCAGTAGTGGGACCTAGGCTGTATGCAGTCGTGGGACCTGGGCTGCACTCTCTCGTGGGACGTAGGTGGTTGGAGTTAGGGCCAATTCTTCACGTTTCGGGGGCGTTAAAAGCATCGGGAAACCGGAAAAACCAGTCTTACCACCCTCTAAAACTTTGGACTGTCCTGTGACGTCATCTGGGGTAGGATATTATTAAAGAACACTTTTGAGTTACGTTAGAATGTAAAGTTATAGTGTTAATCTTTTCAGATGAAAGATATTTATGTAATACTTTTTGGCTATTTCACATAACAAGATTATAAGACTATAACAGATTCCAAGATTCCAGAATGTAAGAAAATGTAAATTTTTTTCGGTTTTTTTTTTTTTTTTTTGGTATTGGTGCTCATCATTATTTTTAAATATGTCCTTATTCCTTTAATTTTTTTTTCAAGTATTCCCAGCCTTTTAAAATTGCATTAATTCATTGTTTGTATTGCTATTAAATAACGCGTGTCCATATGCAACTTTTCCTTGCATGAATACTCAAGCAGGTTGTAATTTCTTCCTGCGAAAGCAGACTCTACACTAGGTGGGTGTCCTAACCATAATCCACTTGTTGGCATCCTTTACCTAACACAGATATATAATTCCGTTTTGATAACTTTTCAGCTGCTCACCACTTGTATCCATCATGCTACACTGTTCGGACTTTAAGATGATCCGGCGCCAAACTGGCATTTTGCTCCTGCGACGTTACACGAAGTCACGTGACAGTATGAGTGTGTGTGCACAATTTAGTGTTGCCACTTTTGGATGTTTTATATCCAGATTTAGATGTTTTCCTCCAAAGCAACAAACCTGTTTTAATATATCAGCATACATATAGGCAGATCCATCCATCCATCTACCATTGCATCTATCTACGAACGTAACCATCGTCCCGCCCATTCATCTACCCACACCATTTATCTCACCATCCACTCAATGCTATTTTTCACCGCTTCCTTCCATTCTGGCTGTTACCAGCCTTGCACTTGGGCTCGACCAATAATTTGTATAACAATCACCCTTACTGTCTCTATTTGATAGCGGACAGTAAGAGAGAAGCACTGTGTTACTAGACTCATGTTTTTACATCATCTCATATTTGGTCGATCCATCCATCCATCTACGATTCCATTCATCCACTAATACAGTCATCCATCATTCCATCCATTAATCTACCCACCCATCCATCCATCTACCATTCCATTCATCCACTAATACAGTCATCCATCATTCCATCCTTTCATCTACCCACCCATCTATCCAGGACACACTCGCCTATCCACACCATCCTCCACACATACTGTTTTCCCATCTATCCCTTCATCACTCCCTTACACTCTGGTTGTTACCAGTCTTACTCTCGGGCTCGACTGATTACTTTTGTATAACAAGCATCCTTTCTGTCTCTATTTGATAGCTGACAGTAAGAGAGAAGCATCTATCTATCTATCTATCTATCTATCTATCTATCTATCTATCTATCTATCTATCTATCTATCTATCTATCTATCTATCTATCTATCTATCTATCTATCTATCTATCTATCTATCTATCTATCTATCTATCTATCTATCTATCTATCTATCTATCTATCTATCTATCTATCTATCTATCTATCTATCTATCTATCTATCTATCTATCTATCTATCTATCTATCTATCTATCTATCTATCTATCTATCTATCTATCTATCTATCTATCTATCTATCTATCTATCTATCTATCTATCTATCTATCTATCTATCTATCTATCTATCTATCTATCTATCTATCTATCTATCTATCTATCTATCTATCTATCTATCTATCTATCTATCTATCTATCTATCTATCTATCTATCTATCTATCTATCCTATCTATCTATCTATCTATCTATCTATCTATCTATCTATCTATCTATCTATCTATCTATCTATCTATCTATCTATCTATCTATCTATCTATCTAT